TCAAAATGTTAACAAAATCCTGATATAAAATCAACGAAAAAGAGCTTAAAATGCTTCTAAGATCTTGTTCTAACTCCAGCAAAATCGTTGTTGCTTCGTAGCTACACGTTTCCCTAAGGATCTACCGCTTTCTTAAAATAATCCTTCATAAAATTGTTTTGGCAAACTGCTCACAACTCAGTGAAAACTCTGTTTTAAATCTTGTTCAAATTATAAAATTCTGTGACTACATGGTGTTTTCTGGATTTTGCAGCCTCTTGGATGATTTCTGGTTGCAAGATACTAATAAAGTGTTCATGATCTTGATTGAATTCCGATTCAAATCATCTCAACATCTTAAAATTCCGTCAAGATACGCATTTTTTCAGATTTTCTTGTTTTCTCAGAAAAAACAATGAACCTTGCAGGATCCTTGTCAGATATGCCAGACAACTGACTCAAAAACATCAGGTATTCGCTATAAGAGAAATTCATCATTATCCATTAGAATCTATTGAGATCCACAAGAATTCAACAGAAACCACCAAGTTTCATAATAATATGAAATAAATACGGAAAACCTAAATATTGATGGATCTTATTAGATTGTATAAGCCGCAGAATCCATCAACATATATTCAAATTCATTGCCATTCATCTGAGTTTCAATCTCCAGAGTTTCCATTCTCTTCCTTATCAGCAATTCCACGACCGATTCTGTCTTTTTACTTAGTTTCCAAGGATTCTAATCGACCCACATGGATTCCGATAGATCTTGAGATGCATCAGAACTCACTCTCTTTCCTTTGTAACTATAGGCTATTCAGATTTTCAAACATAGCACATGAAAATCACATTGATTCACTTAGAACATACTTTGATTTATATATCCTTATTTTATGAGTCTCATTAATTTTCTTGAGTGTCGGTGTGGTTGTAAAGACAGCCAACTTTCGGACCCACTTCCACTCCCACACCCTTCTTGACTACTGCTTATTAATTATAAATTTTATTTTCCTATAAACTAAATAAATCATCAATACCATCATCGAGTTCATCTCAATTCCATTTTAATAATCTATTAAGAAGATTTTTTGATGAGAATGATGAAATGTCTTCCGAATACGTAAGTATTTAAATTTTGATACAAAAAAAATAAGATTCTTTTTTTCAAACATCGTAAACAATATTATATGATGAGTTTCAAGTTGTTCGATAACAGGTAAGAGAGATCGAAACTAAATAACATGTTTTCGAACCAAAAACAGCCATAGGAATGATCGAGGTCAGACAGAAAAGAAAGTGGAACGTAAGTAAAACATTATTCAAGACAAATAAATATTCCTTGTTTTTGTTCTTTTTTATCGTTTGTATTAGTATGTCTTCATTAAATGAGTTGATGAAACAGATTTTAATTCATCAAGTGTTGCTCATTTAGCAAACAAAGAAGATGAAAAATGATTTTAATTGTCTGTCGTTCCAATTTTCTTCTATTGATTATTTATATATACGAATATCATAGAAAAAGTTGTGATTTATTTACTGAAGGAGATGTTATCTGCTCGTGTTATTCGAATTGAGTATAAGTAGAATGAATGAAATTCTCTTTTTTTCTAAGGCGATATGACTCTATTTTTATTTTATTTTTCGAAAGAAAAATAAGATCTTAAAAGTAGCAAAATATTTTTCTCTTTGACTTTCATTGAGACACAGAAGACAAGCTTCATTTTTTTACTGTAGTTGAAAATCTTTTTTAAATAAAAACTAAGAAAAAAACTGTACAACAGATAGTTGCACAAAAATAAATCCAATTTAGTTCTATCATACCGATACATAGATCTTTAGCTTCTTTTTTAAATTGTTGAATTTATATTATATATTGACATATAATTAGAGTATGTTATAGAAATTTTTAGAATTCAGTATGTTTTGAGATTGTGTTCGTCGCTTTTAAATGGCATGATTAACTTGGAAATATATGTTATTTCATCGATTCTATTTAGCACATGTCTGTTGAAAAGCATCGAATAAAGTGCGAAACTCAATTGAATGTTTCTCGAAATTTTCTTTTTGTTTAATTTCCCATTTCGAATATAAAAGTTTTTCTCAATACAGTACGTCGTTTCGTAATAAACACAGTTTTCTATTATATATTTATAATTGTTACCTAGTTCGTATTTTAAGCGAAGCGGATAAAAACTCAAATACGATCGATCATATTCTTTTGTTACAATAATAGAAATTTCTTTTAAACATAATTATTTCATTGTAAATTACATATATGATGTTCACTGTTGATCGAAGCATTATTGTTTAAATCATTGATAGACATTAGAAATAACAAAAAACATTAGCTGTCATGATTTATTTTATGATGAAAAATTGACATGGAAGTTCAATCTGTTCTTATCTTTGAAAAATTTGAAGCTAATTTACATCGCAAAGACATCTTCCTACTTCTAATATCGATTAGCATAAAACTAATATTTTCAATTATCGCAACGAAATTTAAGTAAAGATCTAAATTGCAAGATTGTTTATTCTTTCATCGATTGCGTGGAAAGTAAATCAACTTTTTGAAAAATATTCTTTTTCCCTTAAAAAGATTTTTCGAAATTCAACTTTCAATGAAAAGGTTTTTAAAGGTTCTTTCTTTGTTTTTCTATCAAAGAACAAAGATGAATATGTCGAATTTTCTCAAATATGAATTTACTTTGAAAATTAGTAATTAGTTATATAGGGAATTATCAATTGTTTTCATCAACTTACAAAAAAGTTCTCTGATATTGATAATCATGTAACAGTCATCTCTGCATAGATGAAATAAAAACGCGATACCATTTTACGAATAATCGTACTCTGATAGATGACTATTATCAGATTTTCTCATAGCTATCCAATTAAGTTTATTTTTATTAACTATTCTCTATTTTTGCATGATAAATGTTGATATGAATGTGAATTTACTTTTTTCCAGAGACTCATATGGTATAATTTTAATTCAAGAACAGTTCTATCGAAATAGAAAACGAAAACATGTGTTAGTTGTATTCTAAATAGCTATTTGAATACGGATTGAAGCTACTTACTACATGCAACATATATAGTTTCCGAGATATTTTTATTCAAGTTTTTTTGAGATTATTTGACATTACCCAAGGTATATACCAACCATTTCGACGTTTTCCACCAAGACCAATCAGACTATACAGTTAAAGTAATATTCACTTCCTAGGGTATTTGATTTTAATTCAATGAATAAAATAGCATTTATCTTGTCTGATGTATAAGGAATAATATAAAATCTGTCAAACAATTTTTAAGATAAAAGCCAATCAGAACAAAAATACAACGAACAATCGAATCGCTTACAACAATACATTTTACATGTATGATTAAACACGTCGAATAAATAATGTCACTCCTCTAATGAATGAAAGAGCATGCTTATTCTGTTTTTTTTTCTTCTAAAGAAGAATTGCTTATAAATAGGAGAAAAATAATCTGATTATATAGTAGATGAAACATTGACATACTCTTATTTCACATGTACATTTTCATATTAATAAGTTTAACCATGTGGAGTATTCAGATCGGTGGACATTGTATAAGGTATTCACAGACAGTCAATCGAGGGTACAACAACTCAATCATTATTAATGGATCAATTGTACCACCAGGTTCGTATGGCAATTGTACAAATGATTCTCCTCTTATGATCATCTTGTCTCTTATTTTCTTATTTGGCATCATCATTATCATCGTCAGATGTTGTTGTTACTGTCGACATCGTCAAGCAAATCGTGCAAAATTAATCATGTATAACCAACAACTTGAAGAAAAAGCTAATAATTATGTTTGATACTTATGACGATGAAGGTCTTGTTTTTTGTAGTATTTGTAAATATTTTCACTTGTATTTTCTTTTTTGAAACAAAGAAGAATAAACATATGTGAATAATTTACTTTGGGCATAAAAATCGATTGGTCATTCGTCTATGCATTCAGAAAAAATATAACATTCTAAGAAGTAAATAATATGCGATTGGAAATATACAATTCTGGAATGATGAAATATGCATGTAGTTTTTAAGACTGGAAGACGATTTCTGTATTTTTTTACGAAAATATTAGAATCGTTAGTCAAATATTAGATTATTGAAATAAAAAAGATCAATGTTATAGCAATTGAAAACTGATATTAATTGGTTTAGTTATAGAAGATTTTGATTTCTATCAAGAAAAATATAATTGTAAATAAAGTTCGCTTTAATTGTGATAAAATCTTATGAGCATAAAGTTTTAGTAGTGATTTCAATCGAAATAAAATATCACCAATGGTTAGAAAATGAAAAGCATTTACAATGAAATAACAGCACATTAGATAAATAATGTGTTTTTATGATAAATCGATATAAAAAGACGGTTTTTGTTTTTTATTTATCAGTTAATAAAAATCTTATTTGAAAATAAAATAATAAAATTATGTTTGACAAAAAGAACAGCCTTTTATTGATTTATTTCTCGATTGATGATAAGAAAGAGAATTTTCAGATCGATTATTAGCAGTTGATCGAACACATTCAATGCCTGAATTTATCTTATATAGATCAATACTACCTATTTTATTAAACAAATTTTATTTATCGTGTTTTTTTCTTTATAAAATTAAAAATAAAAATACCTGATTCAATTTTGTTTAATATGATTTGAGCACATTGAATAAAAGATTCATGAAAATTTTCACCTGTCATTGCAGATGTTTCAAGATATATTAAATATTAAATAAGAAAAAACAAAACATTAAATTAAATTAACTAAAAAAATAAAATAATTGACTATGATCTTGTGCAAATTGCTTAGCTTCCATAAAAGTAACTTGTCGTTGATCTTCTAAATCTTTTTTATTTCCACATAAAATAATAACTATATTTCAACTTGCTAATTGACGAGCATCAGATAACCAATTAGCAGCAGTATTAAAACTTTCTCGATTTAAATAAATATTTTCAAATAAGAATTCAACATTTGAATAAATATTCAATGACACAATACTTTGTTATATCATAAACTAATAAAGCAGCAGATGCACCACGATAATAACTATCTGTTACTGATCGAAATCTTTCTTGTCCAGCAGTCTTTTTAAAAAGGAAAAAACAAAATAATATTAAATTTATTTATTAGAAAATGAACATACATCCCAGATTTGTAATTTCATATTTTTTTTATTTATATTTATTATTTTTGAACCAAATTCAGCTCCAATTGTATGTGTTACATTTGTTTTAACTAAAATAATATAAATTGATTAAGATTTAATAAGTTCACTGTTTTAATCGAACATTTATTTTTAATAAATTGATGTAAAATACATGCTTTTCCTGTTGATGCACAACCAATTATTAAAAATTTCAATAAATATTCTTCAATTAAAAAGAAAAAAAAAGAATGATAGGGTGTGGGTGTAGGGAGAGACAGGTAACATGGACACCCACCCACTCCTATACTCACACCCAAACAAAGACCCACACCCACACCCGACATATCTAGAGTCTACGAAGTCCCTCAAAGGGCAACAAACCCGGACTTTAAATGGTCTAGTTGCTACTAAGTATAAGGAATGAACGATCGTAGTACTCAACTAGAATACACTGCCATGAAAGTAAGGATGTGTAGTACTCATATACTCGAAACTCATCGTGAGTACGACTAACGAGTACTCATGAGTACTTGCGGCATTTTCCAGCGTCAGTACTTTTTGAGTACTCTCTAGATGAGTACTTCCACTAGGGTATAAAGTTGGTTGACCCTCTGGAGCACCCTCTATTAAATAGGCATCATCAATGTTAAATTTATAATCGAGATATAGACAAAGATCATGTAAACTTTTTGTAAACATAAAAAGATTGTTCTTTGTATTGATTATTTGTTTCCTTTTATTAACTTCATTATTATTGATTACATTTATACTGCATACTACAGTGCAGTATAGTCTATCTGTACATGTATACAATTATCATCTAATTTATTTACAAGAGAAAATAAACAGAAAATAACACTGGATACAATATCAACAGTTCTCGAATCGATGTATATTTAAAACAAGAGGAAAATAATTAAAAAATTTTTCTCGAAGGATTCTTGGCTTGTTACGGAAAATAATGTTTTTTAAATTTGCACAGTTAGCACGAGCTGTATTACTTGTAAAATTTTCTGTTACGTTTACGAAGTGTTCATAGTCAATACCTAGTGTACTAAGACGTGGTAAACTTGTCTTAAGAAGAAATTGTTTCGCATAGTCGATATGAGACGAAATTAGATCGAGTGTCATCAGATGAGAATATTCAATAATTGAAAACGTTTGTTCATGTTCATCTAGTTCATTTGTCGATTTCTGTTGGTTAACAGTACTTAACACAGTTAAATCTTCAAGTAATGGAAATGCTTGTGAAATTCGAACGAAGAAATCATATTCAATTGAATGCACCGAATCACTCACATATACCATACGAACATTCATAAATATACCGTCAGGAAATTTGTTAGTAATTACATGCATACGTTCCATAGTAGAGGAAACCGAGTAAATATGACATCGACCTCTTTCAGTTCCAAGATAGTCAACATAGCAATCAACATTATATCCTTTTTCGATAAGTGGACGTCGAACATCATCAGATGTTGGCAAATATTCATTTTTGATTATGACAATTTCGGTGACAATATCAAAATTAAATCTATGTAGATAGGGCATTTTACTAATGATATAATTATTCAGATGAGTACCATCAATAAATGAAGTTCGACCATGAACATAAAGAGATAATGTTAATTTTTCTAATTGTGACATGTGATGAAAGAGTGGAATAATTTGATTATCATATTCCAATGTTATAGAAAATGATGTCAACGAAAAACATTTCAGATTCGACACAGTTTTCTATAAAAATTAATATAAATAATAAGTACTATTTATTGAAAATTAGATCTAACAACAAGACAGTTATCTTCATTCTATTTTGAACCTTTTCTTTTATCCATCAATTATCAAATGAAAATTTTATCAAGTATATTGACTCACCGTATTTTGAAATTAAGTTCATTTCTCGATATTTAATTGCTTAGTTTTATCAAAAATCGACATAAAAGGAGTCTTTCGCTATGATTTAAAATATATTACCTTATTGTTGATAATCTCTGATGTATTATGAATGTGTTCAACATGAACAACTAATGTATGTAATTGACTAAGATGGCCATTGAGTAACCAAAGACAATCATTAAACGTCTTCACCTTAAGATTTAAATGAACAATACTTGATGAATAACATACAGACGGTAAACCAGCAAGTTCTAGTGCATATATACAATTGTTTATTAAATCAAACTGGAAATGAGTTAGATTTGTAAACTTCATATAAATTTGGGCAAAAATACATGAGCATAGACACCATCTATATTGATATCCACTAGTACCATTAATCATTATAACAAGATTTGAAATCTGATGTTGAAATATGGAAACAAATGATGAATTGGCTAAACATACAAATTGATATATTTAATTATATTTAGTTGTAAATGATGAGATCAAAAATAACGTACTACAGAAAATACTATTAGCCATTTCAACTTTGAGATTAATAAGAGTAAGTTTATGAAGTTTAGGATAATTTCCAATAGAAAGAACACTAGTCATTGACCAAGGATCAAGAGTAAGACATTGGATATTGTGTTGAATTTGAGGTAATATATAAAAACAGAATCGATTGAACATGGATTTAATTTTTGAGTTATCATCTCCATATGATGATATCGTTGTAAGATCAAGAGATTGGGTGAAGTCAATACTTCGAGCCAATCTATCAAATTTTTGATTGACTCCTATCAGTGAATATAATACATCAACATTATCGAGTTTGTTCAAAATGGTAAGCAACATCTCGTCACATAGGTCAAGAATGTTAACAGTTGAATTCATATTTGACTGTATATGATAAAACACTCCAACGATATTTATCTCTCTATCTATACATGTATATATTTATTTTCTACTTTGTCCGATGCCGTCAGCAATGGCAATGTTACATAGTCAATGATGAATATTGTGATCTATCATGACAGTCAAATTTGCTCGTAGATGAATTTATCGGTCATTAAATTACCAATCAGAAGTAAGGCAATTTCATCATATCACTATGTTTTAAAGTATACAATATGAATCGACATCTCACTTCATAAAAGTGTTTCATTTTTAATCAATAATAATCATTTTTTTTTGTGTATGCAGGATTGCATATTCGATGTTAGCTTGTTGAAATAAAGGTATTATAAAAGTCTACTAATTTCCGTGTATTTTAACCAAGTATTATATTAAATATAAGCTATGAAAACAGATATTTAGTTGAAAATGAAAGTCTTTTTTTTTGACATTTTTCTTTATGTTCTTATATGAGAATGAAATAAGTTAGTTGATTCAAAAATAAACTATACTATAATTAATAGAACAATTAATTTTCATCGATTTCTAATTTTTAGAATAAATTTAAAAAAATAATATGAAAAATAAAATATGATAAATAAAGTAATCATTTTTTTTTGGGAGTGTGATGAAATATGTCAAAAGAAATTTTATTCGTTCGAAAAAATTAATCTTTTTTGGCATGTTTTGCATTATCACGTCCAAAGACATTAATGCTTGTGTTCGAAATTTGCTAAAAGAATATCTAAAGCGATTATTAACTGGATGAAATTTTAAATGAATAAGGATTATTTCACTTTAGCATCTATTTTTTGTCAAATCATATTTATGAATAATTCGTAGCATTGTGAGATATTTTTGACAGTCAAAAAGATGTGTAAGTAGTTCAATATGTTATATTCTTTGAAAAAATTTCTCAAAATATCTTAGAATAAAAAACGAAGCAATTCGCAAATAAAATTCAATGGAGAAATATAGATAGTAAAATATATTTCATGTTTTTCTTTTAAACAATCATGCTATGGTTGTAATCTGCTACCAGTCCATTTATAGAGTATCATTCAAAATTAGTAGAAATCATATAGAAATAAATGCGGAAACTTCAGATTTAATCCGAAAGTTATGTGTACCTCAAAAAGTGTATGAGGCAGATGAGTCATCCTAGAATGTCTGGGCGTCAAAATTATAATGGGAAATCTTTTCTATAAGCAGGATTTCTATTGGCTGTGCTCATCTGATAGGATAAAGGCGAATACAGCTCAGATTTGAACTCTTCGCCTTGAGTTACCCTAAGAAAAACATTTTTCCCGTAACTTGATTTTTATTGGTTATTGCTCAACCAATGGGATTTCGAGGCAAATGGAATACAGATTCGAGTTCTCCGTTCCAGAAAACCTTGAAGTAACATATCTGTGATCGGAAGATAGAGCTCTAATTCTGGCTCAATGACGTCGTTGACAATATTGCAACCATTTCCTGCTTAATTATGTTTGCCATATAGGTTACTTTGCCTTCTTGTTTCGTTATATATTATATACCATTTTGTAGCTGGTGAAATTCTCTATCGAATGGTATATAATAAGTGGGATTTTATTTGACTCTGGTAGAAAAGTTTCATACGAAACCGGTTACATGTCGATCTTCCTATAGAAAAGGAAAAGGGAAAATGCAAGAAGGAAAAAGCGAATTTTTTGGGATTTTAAATCCGAAAAAATCTAAAAAAATCCCAAATAATCTCAATAAATCTTTTTTGGATTTTAGAATCTGTAAAATCCAAAATCCACGTTTTCCCCCTTGTACATAAATTAATAAGATGCAAAAAACATCAAGGAATTCGAAAGTATCGAGCCTGTTGATAAAAAAAGTTAATAGTATATCTGATATGTCGATACTTTGCTATTGTCTTTGGCGGAAATATGTTTTGGTAAAACGTACATTTTTCGTCACAGTTTAATGGCGATGGTCTATTGGAAAAGAAAATATTTTCTGGAGAAGTTGTCATATAATCGATGTTACAGTCTTTCATAAACGAAGTTAAAACAAATTGGTTAGGTAACAATAGAAGAAAACAAGTAGCAGTAAAACAGTAGCGGAAAAGCACAGATGAAGAAAAAAGTTAATATTGATGATCACATTTCCAGCAATCAAAAGTTGATTTCATTGGAAATGTTTAATGACAACGTTACTTGGCAAAGGCATAAAAGAGAAATATTTCAGAATTTACATATCGAGCTGATTTAATTTGGTCGTCTAGATACTAGTTGAAAAAGTGCTGGTAACACATACTGAGAAGCTCAACTAAATAGTCATGATTAATTCTTTTGATAAGAGATGAACTGAGATTTTATTGACAAAAAAAATGTATGAGTAGAATGAACTTTGATTTTTGAGTTTATGTGTCTAGATCACTTCTTTGAACTTTTTATTTTTCAATGAATATTATGATTTGACACTATTTAAATTCCATTATCATTTAGGACTATTTTTAATAGTAGAAAAAAACTAATTTTCACACACTATTTCGTTAATGACTTTGCAACAACTGGTGAACAAAAATCCTTGCGTGTTTTCGTAAAATAATTAAAAGAAAAAAAAACTTGCTTGAAAATAATATTCAAGATTCACCATTGATAGAAAAAGAAGATGAGTGAAACACACTCTCTTTCTTCTACATTCTCACTACAAAAAAAGTTTATTTTTCATTATATATGATACATTCGAATTCTTTGACGTTTCATAATTAAACAGATTTATTTTCACCTTTTTCACAATTCTATAAATATTTTACTTAAAATCCTAAAATACTATGAAACTGCTTTTATTGATGTTAACTTACATTCGAAATACAAAACAGTCATTTCTATTAACTTCTTCATCAATAAGGTTAGTCTACTTCTTTTTTTTATGTATAAGATTCAAATTATCAATGCTCATAGTTTATTTTTGTGAATTTATCTTTACCTATGAAATAAGATCGATATATTTGTTTGTTCTTAGAAAATGATTATTAAAAAAATAATAGGTTACTCATATTAGAGAGATGAAAGGGTTGCTTTTGTCTTAAATACTCGAATTTCTTTATATTTTTATTCGATAATAAACAAATAAAAGTATCACTAAACAATCCAAATATTTCTTTTGTGCTAATTTTCAAAGCTTAATGTTTTTTTTCCAACAATCAAATGTATAAATTCTACTTATTTTTTCTCATTTTGTTTTTGAAATAACTTTTGAAAATAACTAGTTAAGTGAATACTAAAATAGATTTAGAAAAAAAACTCGTCTATTTTATGTTATATTTTTAATCATAGAAATCGAATAGAACATTTAATAAGATTGATCAATTAAATCGTTATTCAATTTATAATTATATAAATTTATTTCGAATAGAATTGATCCATCAATTTATTTCTTTTTTTCATTAGAGAGAAGAAAAAAATGATGAGAAAATCCAAATGATTCATTGTTAAGACTGAAAATGATTATCTTATTGTTTTTTCTTTGAATCAATTTAAATAAGATTTTTCCTCATTACAATCCGATCATATATCTCTCGATAAATTTATTTTCAATAATATTATGAGACAACTTATATATTAATTTTTATTTTATAGAAAGAAAAAAATGTAAGTAGAGACATAATTGTATCATTACATTAATCAAAGATAATAGGATTTTTCATTTTTGTTTTCTTTATTTCGAAATAAACATTATTATCATAGCTTTCAAAAGGTTTCTCTATAAATATATCGTCAATGATTGAGAAGATCAGAATAGTTCACATGTTATAAAAATTAAACAAAATTTTAGATAAGATGATAATCATGGTTTGTTATTTCGTAGAGATAAATCTTGATATTAACTTAAAACTTTCTGTTAATGAGACGCCTTCTCAATATTTGGGACATGAGTACAAGCTGCCTCATATGTTCAAATGAAAAGAATTACTAAAGTCAGAAGATCATCTATTATCTATAGAATGACCGAGTATCAATGGTCTTGCATTAGTAATTTACAAAAAGAGTCTTAAAAATCAATTGCAATATTGAACACAAAACATTGAAGATTTTTTTCATGAATATACAATCTTATGACTGTTGTTTATGACGATATGAAAAAATAGTAGAGAAATATCCTTGAAATGAGGGATCATTGAAGCCTTATGAACATTTGACCATATGATTTCGGATAGAATTCATTTAGAGAAATTATTCGCATCGGTTTTCTGACTCTGCCTAGCTGGCAAACACACAAACGATTAGAATAAATTAATTACTTTGGGTGTGGAAGTACATGAGCGAGCTTTCACACCCACACCTTTGTATTTTAGATAAAGATTGTATTTAAAACGTGTTTTTTGTAGAAATTGTATTGGAACTTGTTATGCTATATCTTATTTTCATTCATATTGTCGACAAAAGTCAGCACAAGTGTGACTAATGTCATATTTCTGACTGTTTTCTCAATTTTGTCATTGAAATACTCTTTGTTGAATAATTACTCATTAAAATGCTTCATCACGGATGAATTTTATTTTATTTCATCGAAAAAATAAACCTATAAAGCAGCGAAGTCATCGTTGTAAAAAAAAAATGCCATCTGCTAGTGACCGTGCTTTATTGTTATTGTAATCTACGTTTGCTTTCAAGAACAATGAACATTTCAAGTTTTGTAAAGCAAATTTTGTCAAGTATCTAGACGAACATATATCAACAAGTATAAATTAAAACAATACAGGAAGCTTCTACGCATCTGCTAAGGTACACTTTTATTTTATTGTCCTTGAAATCAATGATTTGATCGATTATTCGTTTTGTATTTCGCAAACAATAACATTTCTTTTATTATAAAAAATGCATATCATGAATATGAGAAAATTGAAACATGACATATTGTTTTTGCATGCGTCATTCTTAAAAGGTCTTAAATATATTTTCTTTTCTTCTTAACTCTATCTCATTTTGATTCTCCTATGATAGTGAATATTTCTCACAGTGTTTATTATAAAAAAGAACAAAGTTTTACTTTCGAATGATGTCAATGAATTATCTTGTTGTACTTTCCTTGTTTATTTGGATGTAAGTACCTACTCGACATGTTTCTTCTTTTCGTTTCTCTATCGTATATATTTTTTCGTTTCTTTCTACATGCATAGTCAATAGTAGTTTAATCATTCTATAGTTATTTACTCATACGACAAAAAAGAAGTTTAATCAACAAGAAATTATCACAGTACCAGAGCGAAATTAATTGAATCAACAATTCGATTTTCACTTTGTTAAGTTGAGAATCTCTGTTTAAGAAATTTATGTCGTCAGTTGATTCGACTGATAAACGTGTACGTCGATTACTTGTCATGAATCCACTCAATGGAATTACGCTCTCAGACGGTGTACTAGTGGAAAATACACACAAGTGTTTTCGAATAACGTTTGAAATTGTACAAAATCTGTCTTTATTTTGATTCTACCAGATAGAAACACATGTATTTGTAGTTATTTCCGACTAGCTAAGATAAATGGTCTATTCTTTTGTTGAGAACTGCCAGTGAATGAAACGGAGGACGTAGTGAACCAGGTGCGGTCGTTATTTTCAATGTTCCTGATACTTGTGCAGAAAGTGTCTAACATTTATCTTTTGATGACTGTTTTACCAATTAACATGTAATAGTTGATTTCCGTAGAGTAAGCGTTTTTACTGCAATTCTCTTTGTTAGAAAATTATTTAAATCAAGGAAAAAATAACAAGTGTCCGTAAACGCTACATATATAAGCAATTAAATTTGTACTGTTTAACAAAGAAGAAGAGATATCGTCATAGTACAGGAAACATAAGGCATTGACGCTCGAATAACAATTGGACATAGAGAGAAGATTGTGCATGTGCATCTAGAAAGAAAGAGACACTGTAACAGTCAGGACCAGTTGAAAGAACCAAACTTCATCATATTTGGAAATTAAGAACTAACTTAATACCGTTTTCGTTCCATTTTAGCATTTCCAATGAAGTTGGATTAGGAGTGCATGTTCATGCTGCAACTCTATTCAATTCACACAAAGCCATGGGTAGTCAAAAATCAGCCAATACTATAGCTATTACTGAAATATATGATCCATCAGTGGACCAATGGACCACTACTGCAAGCATGGCAACACCACGCGGTTTTCATGCTGCAACCCTACTCAATTCGGGACAAGTTCTTGCCACTGGTGGTACCACCTTTAACATAAACGGTATTATAAATAGTTGTGAAATATATGATCCATCAACGAGCCAGTGGAGCTCTCTTACTAGCATGGGACCAAAAGCGCGTTTATAATCCTACTGCAACTCTGCTCAAGTCGGGCAAAGTTCTTGTCACTAGTGGCGTCCAATCAGCCATGTATTCGGCTAGTTCTGAAATATATGATCCATCAACAAACCAATGGGACACTATTGCAAGCATGGCAACAGCACGTCAATTTCATACTTCAATTCTACTCACTTCAGGCAAATTCTTGTCACTGGTGGCGTAGGAGATGCCGACATTTTAGATAGTTGTGAAATATATGATCCATCAACGGGCAAATGGAACAATATTACTAGCATGACAGCAGAACGTTCTTCTCATACTACAACCATGCTCAAATCAGGCAAAGTTCTTGCTACTGCTGGCTACGGATATACTGGTTACCTG